CCCTTAACCACAGCATGATACGCACAAGCCCGGCTGCTATTGGCCAGCACAGTGATCCTGTTTTGGATGTTTCTCTATCCTCTAGCTCAATGTGCTGTTGTCAAGGAGCTATTGTGTTTACGCGTTACTTGTGTTTAAGTTAAATAGAGTATAGTAAAATTATAAATCTAAAATAGATAGGGTTACTACTTGAAATTGGAGGATGAATTAGAGACAAGCAATTTTAGGACAAACACATCACTGAAATAAAAAAATGTTATCAGGAACGATATTTGACAAAACTAATTATATCTATCCTTAAACATGAAAAGTAGGTCAGGTCCATCTAATACTGAAGAATAAATTATCTGTATCCCATAAAGATTCTTTCAACAATTTCCAAGATCCTTGAAAGAGTAACTAAATCACAATTACGAATTCACCTACAAATCTATAACCTTTTTCCTATGATACAATCAAGATTCAGGACCGGGTATAATTGAGGCACAGCGCTTTTCAACATATCAAATGATATTTTTATAAATTGAGATAAGAAGAAGTATAGTGCTCTAACTCTTCTATAGCATTATCGATCTCGGACGTCCTGTTATTATTTTTTCAAACTTATTTAGATCCCAGAGAGTGGGATTAAATGGCATAACATCTGAATTAAGAGTAGTTAGTAAAGAGGGGTGTCACTCAAGGATCATTTCTTAGACCTCTACTTTATACAATTTATACGAGCCATCAGCCATCTTACATCAACACTAAATGTACACTTATACGCGGATGATACTCGGTTAATCAATTTCTTGGATCCCTATAAAGTAAGGCAGACTAAAAGACAAATTAACTAATATATGGAATAACTAGTTGACTTCTCAAATATAATTTAATGATAAATTACTCCAAATCTTCCATCATGGTAGTTGACTCTTTAAAAATAGAGGATATTAATATTATAACTGGCGGCAACCAAATTGCTATTTCGGAAAGTTCAGGAATTTGGGTTTAATCACGGATAAGAAATTTTACCGAACACGTGTCTCATATCTTTCTGAAAAATTATTATTCAGGGTTGGTGCACATAATGTGAACCTTCGGAATAGATAGAATCTTGAAATTCCCCACCATCATATAGCTAAATTTCAAAACGCCTCTTACTTTCTAGTGAAATAATATAATCAATTACCATCTGTATTTAAACATATCGTACTACCTAACTTTAGTACGTAACATTTATTTATAAAAAAATGTCCTTTAACACAACATAAAACCCAAAATTTTAATATTTTATTGTAACATTATTAATTGGATTCGTTTTTTTTTTCTTATACAGAAAATAACATTAAACTGATCTTCGATCTTTACATCAATAATTCGAGAGACGCTAAAATGGTAATTCCCACTTTATCGAGACTGAGGCACACAAGGGTAAACTCGTAGCGTAAAAAAAACGAGAAATTATTTAACATGGAACGAAAGACCGAAAGGCGATAGTAATAATAGGACGTTGAATTTTTTGGTTTGTGAAGCATTGGCATTACTTAGGTTAAACCATGTGATGATTTTCACAAGCCTTAATTTTTGAAACCATTCTATATTGCCTTTTGATTAGGGTTTACAAACTTGTTCGAGCAATTTATCCAATAATTATTGGCCCCTTTACCTCTTAAGCCTGCTCATTTCAAATATTTGAGCTCCTTACTTCGCCTATTTATATAATATTAATAAATTACAGAAGGATGTTATTGTGTTCAGTACATTTATTTATAAAATAAAAATGACAGCATCAGATCTATTAGAAAAAATTCAATATAATACGCAATATCACAACTATAATACAAGAAGCCAATCTAACTTTCATGTACGGCAAGCCATCACTAAAAGTACCCAAAATACAATTTTTATTAAAGGTTTGCAAAAATTTAATAGACTGCCTACAAAAATAAAAAAAAAACAACAATAAATATACTTTCTTGTAATAATACTCTTTAAACCTGCCCTTTTTAAGTATTTCCATTAATTTATTGTTATTTTACCCCTCGTTTTACCCGCATTTATTATAAATTATTTCTGTTTTGAGATGATGTACTTTATTTTAAAAAATTACTTGATATTATATTAATACTACCTACTATGTTTAGATTATTATTTCTATATATATTTGAAACAAAACTCACTAGGGGACTACTTTAACACAAAAATAGTTTTGCGACTATAGGTTATAGCAACTTATAGCCACAAAATTATTTTTGTGTTAAAGTAGATTCATAGGGAGCAATATAATTTACAAAGGCCTTCTTTCAACATACAAATAAATGACAACTTTATAATTAAAATGAAAAACACATCAAAATACTTCGGTATCATAATTGATCAAAATTTGAAATGGATTGATCACATTACGTCATTAACAACCAAAGTTGGAAGATTCATTTTTAAGTTTTATAAATTGAGAAAATGTATGACTAGGAGTTTACTAATTATTATTTACAATTCACTGGTTGAATCTATTTTGCGATATGTATAATGTAGACTATATGATATTGCACTTCAACCCCTGTAATCCAAAATTGTATAATTAAAATTATCTACAAAAAAACAGCATTATATCCTACCTCTCTTTTATACATATAATAAAAAAGTGCTTTGTATAAAAACATTATACTATCTGTGTTGCTGTACCTTTATTTATGGAAAGCCTGAATTGAGATACACTACAAATGATTTACAACAAATATCAAAAGAAGCATACAAACATTTTTAAATAATTTGACCTTTAAGACCCATTCTCATATCACAGTTGACATTTTGATACTTGGCAGGCTCAGCCAAGCATTATTCTGATTTTTGCCAAATAAAATGGCCGGTTAATTATTCTGTAAAGTAATTTTTAAGAAACTGCTTATATATTTTTCATAAATTAGCAGGTGGCGACTAATTTCGAATAAACATAGCCTCCAAAATGGCTATGGTTGCAAGTATGACGGTCGAAACCCGCCTTAGAAATCTCACCTCTAGAATCAACAGCTGTTGTTTGACAGGTCGTTGGAGAATGTTTGCAATGTATGGAATGTTAAGAATGTTAGACATTAGGAATGTTTGGAATTCGTCACATAAGAAATGCATAGGCTGATTTTAAGAAAAGTAATTATTCAAGAAACTCAAAACCTAGAGTTATCGTGCCAGCATACATACACACAGACGACCAAACAAACATTTTTTTTGCATTTTCGGACTCAGAATGATCGGAAACGTGAAAAGAAGTCAGTAATTATTAGTATGCTTTTCCGATTATAATTTTATTTTTGGAAATTGGTGAACAGGGTTCATTTATTGTTATTATAAGTAGTATTATTATTATTATTATATGCAACCAAAAACAAAACAAAAAATATGTTTTTGACAGTTTTGGGAGGTAACATGACTACAAATAATTGAATATAACAAAAAAAACTAAATAATTTCTTATTGAAAACCCAATGTTTACAATTATATTATTTGATTTATACTCAGAACAACTCTATGAATTAAATGGAATACCTTAAAGATTATTAAGAGAAAATAACTATTTTAAAAATAATTAATACAAAAATTTTAATTGATAAGATTTACTAAATTTCAAAGTTAGAGTATTTAAAATTATTTTATCAATCGTTTCCTTATAGATTTAATGCAATGCCCATCGAGGTATTAGCCAGAGGAGATTTTTTTCTGTGACATTAATTCTTCGTTTCCACAAAACGTTTTTTTTTTTATTAAATATATGTGGAACAAATATTCAAAAATAACAAACGATGCTACTATAGTTATAACGTAATAATTGTACACTATATTCTTTCTATGATCATAATGAAATAAAATAAGCAATCAAAATTTGAATATCAAATTTCACAAACAAATTAAAAACTTTCGTCTGGATCTGAATTTTATTTATTGGTATTTTATTTAATAAAATAATTAGCAATTATTAATAAAAAAAATCTTCTTACAAAAACATTTGAAACTATTAAAAAATAAAAAAAATAAATATACTTTTAAATGATTTCATTATCACGTGATTTCTTAGCTTAGAAGAATTTTGAAAATAACGTGTCTCAAAACATTTTTTGAAAAAGTTATTCACTTTACTGGATTTTTTTTTGAAAACTTTTGAGACATACTTTACCTTTTTATAAGTAAAGTTTTCGGATTATAAAACTAGACATAGACATAATATAACCAGACTGGTTATTCATATAATGGCTGTACTTATGATACCAGGATTATTCCAATTGCACTAAGGCTGGTACCAAAGTAGGGGTCTAAGGGGAAGAGATATGTTTATAAGGACAACATATATGCTAATTCTAGCGGCTAACAAAATAATAAAGCTATATGAGTTGAGTAGGGAGCAGTTGTGTAACGGCTAGTACATACATCCTAAAGAGTGTAATAACCCAGCTCGTAAGTAATTTTTCCAGCTTTATATATAATCTAATATATGGTACCTTTTTCTGAAACATATTGTAGTTGTTTAATTGCCCAAAAAACATTACAATGTCAATAGTAAAAGTGTTCATTATATAATAAGATTTTTTAATAATTTAACAATGTATAAAATCTTAAACAATACAGTTTTAGGTAACATCGACTACTTTCAAAATCCAAGAAAAATAATCGCAATAATAATTTTTTTTATTAAATACTAAGCATCAATAAAAATGTAAATTAAAAAAAACCAATTATCTCGAATGTCACGTTCCTACTTCTGATAATGAAAGGACGAGTAATCCTTAGCAGAGAGGACCAATCAATAAATACGTATCCCTAACCTGTTGAATGAAATCACACTAGAATACTAAAACCCTTAATTGCGATACTCAATTAATGCATATTTAATCTTTGTTAATAATAAAAGAAGAAACAACGACTACACTAAATAAATAAAAAATCATGTAATAATCCGGTTTCAAAAAGTCAATTTAACTCTAAAAACATTCATTTTTAATTTCTAACATAAATAATACACAACTTACCCTTAGAAAAACATAAATAATATGCTTCAAATTAAGGACTATTAGGAACACCAAATGATGGAGCTTTCGAACGAATGAATGTGGAATGAATAGAATGCTGCCCGGAATCGAAATTAAAGGTTTGTTTATAGGAACGCGCTTGCGCTGTACGTCTGGTCGATAGCATCTATATAAAAAATTCCTAATCGCAATTTAGCAAAGGTGGCAGTAAGGCTTAACAATTATTTTCCAAAAAAAAAACAAAGATTACATAATTGGATAACAAAAATTGCGTATTCTATAATACGGGGGTCATGCCGAAAATCTTGTTCTTAATAAGTAATGAAAGTAACGCTTCCAGTAAAATTCGTTTTTAGATAATCAGAATCTGTAAAGGAGAGGAAAAAACACTTCGATTAAAGCAACTGTGCATTTTGATTTCACCATTCATCGCTGATATTTGAAGATTTCGATAAAGATCTGTATTGCGCAGATACCAATGGGCATTCACTACGTTGCGCTATACTTTACTCTAGAACGTTTGAATTCACTTAATTCCCATAACTGGATGCCGTCATGCCTGTTTTATGACTGGCATACTTTGCATTTAGCCCAAGTGACGATAGAGCATTTTTATATAATCAGCTCCATTTTTTGTGAAAATTTCTAAAAAACAAAAAGGTCCTCAGCTAATTTTTCGTAAAAACGAGGGTCTTTTACCCGGATATTTCTCAATTTTCTTATAAATCCGATTCCTCTGCTGCGGCTTTTAAAAAGCGTGGAATTTCCATAAAAAGCGTACAGGCAAGTCAAAAAGCGTGGCAATCACGCCAAAAGCGTGACGTCTGGCAACCCTAAGTACACTATTTCCGCTGATATTTGTAAAAAGTGGGGAGGCAAATGTCCCTCTTCCCTTCTTCTATCGCCGGCACTGGTTGCAGGAAACAACAATATGATTACTACATGTAAATGGAAAATAAATTAAAGGTGTGTCCCAATTTGTATGCTTTCATGTTTACAAAGTTGATCCTAGCACGATTGCTGATAATATAAATGCAAAATATACTATTTTGTCTCTTTCTAGTTTTAGTAAATAGGTGTTAAACCAGAATTCCTTAAAAATTCATGTCGTTACTTAACAATACTAAAAGGCACCAGGTGTGTACTCAATTCTTTTAAAATATTCATCAGAAATGTCATACGTCAACATGGAAACAGTATTTTTAAAACCACTAATAATTAAAATTCTTGGAAGAATTTTGATCCTCTCGAAATAAACAGAGAGAAACAGTCAGTGAGTTTTCACTAGCTTTATGTTGACGTATGACATTTCTCATGAAAATCTGAGAGAAATCACTTTCTCTCGAGTTTGAAAATAGCGCCCCAGGAGTTGAGGAGAAATAAAAAAAATATTTAAAGTGTGTAGAGTTGGATAATATCAAAAAGTAGATATAACAAAAGAGTGATAAACTGAAATCGAGAGAGATAGCACTACACTTCAATTTACACTCCATACGCAGGCCATAGGCACCGACATAATATATTTAAATTGTATCTTGTTCGCAACTAATTCGGATACAGTTTTATTTTACGTGTTATTGATTGAGTCTGTGGATTGTGGTGTATTTATAAAAATTGCCAAAGTAAAAAAAATTGAGTCTTTTTAGAATGCCTAAGATTTATATATTATTATACCGTTTGTATGGATAGTACATTAATAGCAATAAAACCTTTTTATTCAAAAACTAGGGGTGAATATAAGACTGAATGAGAACTATTGAATAAAAAATGTTGCAAGAGCAATACTCTTATTTGAGAGTCATACAAACATTTTGAGAGCAATTAAACTACTTGTCGAATTTTGGTTCCGATTTGACACCTATTTCCAAAATTAGGTAACTTTTCGTCAGGTTGCATTTTTTTGTCTAAAACCCTTTCGCCGACACAAAAAAATATCATCGTAGATCCAGAAAAAACGTGTATAAGCTGGATACCGAATTTCGTTAAAAAAAACAAATTTCTGGTCACGTGGCCGAAATCCCTACACCTAAAGTAACAAAACCGGACGACAGAAAATGCTTGCAAGGGAATTTTTTTATTGTTATTGAAGTTTATAGAAGCATATTTCACTGCTAGCAAAAAAACATGACAGCTCCTACCACCGGGACATAATACATTTTGTTTATCTGACATGTTGTTCATCCCCCACTCCTGTACCCAACTACAAATAGCAAGCAAAAACACGCACGACATGCCCAACACGGTTTTAGACCTCATCACTCCACAATAAACTCCTAACAAATCTCATCAGCCGTTCTTCTAGATGTTTAAAAATCCTTTGACCAAGTCTGGCATGCTGGACTAGTCAAAAAGCTCCTGAATATAGGTCTCCCCCCACACAATCTCCAAACTCATTCACTCTTACCACACTAACAGGATAATCACGGTCAAAGTAGGCAACGCCCTGTCAGATCCATTCACCCCACTTTCTGGGGTATATACACCCACGACATCCCACCTCGAAACCACCCATCGTCAAAATGCCTTCTCTACGACGACGATACTGCTCTACTCTCTGTAGCCAAAAATTCTGACCTTCTAAGTACTCGAACCCAGAATCTGTTAAACCAGTATTATCGCTGGTGTAGCAGATGGAGGGTCTCACACAATCCACAAAAAAACACAATTTGTCATCTTTAAACATCCGAACTCAAAAAGAGCCACTCAGATCTCACAACCCGTCAATGTAAATTTCCTAGGAGTCAGACTCGCTCAACAAACTGAAGTTGACTGTTTGGGAGTACGATTTTCTCGTACACTCAACTGGTCTTCTGATGTCCAACGCTATACTGACAAGATGCGAAAACGAGCCACTCTTTGGGACTTTGTGTGGACGATTTGGTCGTACTTCCTACACAGCTTGCATACAAATTCACCATACTTGAGAGACGTATACTCCAATATCTTCCCTTTCGCTCTCTCAGCGGATAAGTTTTTGAAAACATTTTCAACAACCACATCCTCACACGTTTACAAACCCTTTACAAATCCCTTGGCACCCACCGAAAAGAAAACTCCTACAACCTAACTTAAGACTTTTCTCAGACTCCCAAGACTCCCACTTACCGCTGAACTCCAGGATCTGCTGGACTCAGCCACACTATCTATCAGATAAACCCTTCCTATAATTAGCCATATCATATTATTGTACAATATCGTGATTTAGGTTTTCGTGGTCTCCCTATTTCCCACCTTATACTATGGACTTGTCCATATATATGAGGTTGGAAATAGCAAAATTGGCGATATTATTTTGGGAACACAACCTGCCACACAGGTCCCAAGCACCAACACTTAGGAAACATAGATGGTTACTGTTGTAATCAGAGCAAACCACCCTGAGAAGGAAGATAACTCCTATAGTAGGGCATTAGAAAACGTAAAATGTCCTAGAAAATGTAAAAACTTATGAAAACAAAAAAAAACAAAAAAAAACAAAAAAAAAATAAAAACAAAAAAAAAATAAAAAAAACAAAAAAAAAACAAATAAAAACAAGAAAAAACAAAAAAAAGCCAATTCAGAGTTGGGTCGAATACAGGAAAAAAGTACCCGAATACCGGTTAAGGATACTTGCAATGTACCCACCCGGATACTTCTTAAAAAAGTACGGATGCATTCACCTAAAAATGTATTCTTTCGGATACTTTGAGTTAAAATTTTTTATGCCAATAGTCATAGATGAATACAATAGAAGGGGTTAGAAGCAAAAGGGTTCAAGTGACATTTTGTTTTTAAATGAGTTGAGTGCATATTTCTTTATTTAAAACTATTATTTTGTTGTTGGTAAAATGATACAAGTGATTTTTGATGTCTTAACGACATATATCAACTGGTAGAAAAAGCATGTTATTGAAAACGTGTAGTTTGTTCTAGGCAAAACAGTTTAAGTTGCACTTAAGTCATTTAAAAAATATAACACTTGAACACTTTTGCTTCTAACCCCTTCAATAGGCCTTTACATCACAAAGATTTTTTGTACGCATGCGTCAGTATCAGCCATCTTTTTCATACTGTTTTTGTAAACAAGCATATTAAAATGCCCACGTGAAAAAAATTATAATCGATATTAATTTAAGTATATTCATTTAAAAAAATGAAGAAAAAGAAAAGTAATAATAAGTTAGTGTCTTAATTGAAAAATACATTTTTGCAAACAATTATAATAAATATGTTATCTGTACGGAAAGGAACAACGAAACAGTGTTGTTATGAAGTATGTAAAAGTGACACACGGTATAAATCATTCAAATGCAATACATATTATTTTATAAATTTTCATCGGCGTAGCTAGCCTCAGTTTTTAGGGGAGGGGGGGGGGGGGGGCGTGGTCCCAGGTATACGTTGGATTAAATATATATATGTATATTTTTTAATTGCATTGCAATGAATGGTAAAAAAATACTCTATAACAGTGAATAGTGGTTTTAATATTTCAATATAACTAATATTAAAAGTACTGGTTATCTACAACAGAAGTTTTCTACGCTGTTGACTGAAAGAATCTACAACACTGTCCAAGTCGATATCACCATCTTTTTCTATGAACAACAAAGACAAATCTGAATATCTGTCTTGAGTCATGGCCATTCTCAACCAATTTAAAATCCTCATGACAAAACGACCTCTCGCACGTCGCACTTGAAATAGGTAGAATAATCTTAACTTTAAAAAGTTGATAGACGTTTGGGTATGTTTTTTCTGATTCTGTTAAGTGTTTTTTGATAGAATCATAACCAACAGTTTCTTTAAATTGAAGAATACAGAATACAGAATTGGCAAGCACCATACTTTCTGATGAGAAGTTTTTGTTTAGAAACCCTTTTACGGTATAAATAATTCGGTAGAAAATGTTTGCCCTCCATTACTCCGATAATAGCTCTATAGCTTGTGGCGTATATCAAACCTAATCCTATAGTTGTTTTGGTAACGACCTCAGCGAGCTTGCTACTGACTTGATTTTTTCGTTTTGATGAGGGAATTTCCAATGATAGTTGATATTTTTCAGCAAAGTCCGAAATTTTTAGATGAAGGTCAAGTACAGTATTTTTTATTTCTCATTTCATCTAGTGAATTAATGATGCTTTTAATAACGTTAACTACTTTCCCCAGAGTCGCACCTTTCTCCTGAAGGCCTTTCGATAACAAATTTAAGATATTTAGTATCCCGTATAATACAAAAAAGATGAATTATGAATGAAGGTTGTTTAATGCTGGATAATATGCCTATTGCTGTGATTGACTGTTTACCATTTTTATTAGAAACCTCGTTTTCCAAAGCATTGACAATTCCCTCGAAACATGTTTTAACAGAGTGACAAGTCGTATATCGACACACCCAATGAGCATCGCATAGATTTTTCAACTCTCTCTGGGGACAATATTGAGGTCATTTAAGAGTTTGTATTTGGTATGATTCTGTGGATCTGAGAAATGTTAGTAAATTGTTTCCAAAGTACAAAAAAATGTCGATATTGATGGAAAATTTTTGAGTTTACCACAGCCAAGTTAAGTCTATAAGCTAAGCAGTGCATGTACATTGCTGCTGGATATTTGTCTAGCTATTTGCTTGAAGACCATTTATATTACCCGACATAACCGCAGCTCTGTCGTAGGATTGACCTACCATCTATAAAGATTAAACTCTTCCAATGTAATGGAAATTAAATTGAATAAATGATAAATATAAGTAAATTCGCCGACTACGTTTTTTTGATACGCAGTTTTTTATATATCTTTCAGGGGGGGGGGGGGAAGGTACATCGCCAATGCTTGGCTGCAATATCGTAAAAAATTATCAAATTTTTAGGCAAAAAATGTGGTCGAAGTGACAACGGTTTTCGATCGATTGATGATGTTATTAAAGATATTTATTCATTACATTTTCATGGAGAAAGTCCTCCAACAGAAGAAAATTCTTATCTGGTATTACACAATAATATGATTAAAAATGTCATGTTGATCCTCAAAATATTAAATAATGTATTTTATTAATTATATTCGTGATTAACTTCCATGTTAATAATAGTGTTTTTGCAAGTACTAATAGTTGGTTGGCATAATTAATTAGAATAGAGTTATAATTATTATTTGTTTTCATTAATTTTTAACACAGTTAAGAAGTATTGATACACCTAACCTCTCAATTAGTCCACTTTTTTTCCTTTATAGCAAACGTCCAAGACACTTCAACCACCTTTTCAACTGCTCACAACTATGTGCTTCCACAGAGTTATAAAAATGTAAATCACCATCAACGATTTTTTCCAATGATTGATTTGTCTGTAGGGATAATATTGCTTTCCCAGCCATTGTCGATCAAAACAGTACGAAACTTTTGAATTACCGCTATTTCAACATAATGGCTGCGCTTGCGCTCATCACATGAAGACAAGGCCTATTGAATACGAGTAATAAAATTAGGCATGTATGTAGAGTATAGGCAATATCAAACCTTCAGTCCTGCTGATTATTAAATGGCGCTCACACATACGAAAAAAGAAACGACACATTCACATTGGGAGTCACGGGTTGGTAACCTGCTACCGACCGGTAACTGGCAACGTTGATACCACATCTTTTTCTCTTCGCCACAAGCGAACACCATTTACTATTCACTCCAACAAAAGCAAAGTGACCGAAGGTTTGATTCTTGCAGGAAACAAACCACTCGTTTTGTCTTAACCATGATCTTAAACGAGTTGGTGAAATAAGTTTAAATAACAAAAGTTCGAACTAGAAAATTTCAACTGACAAATAAAATCCCCTAAAGAGAAGACCCTAATTAACTAAGGAAATAAATACAAGGAGAAAATAATAGTTTGAAATATAAAAATTCGAATGACAAAATTTCGAAACTAAAAAGTTTGAAAATGAAAAGATCGAAAGTGAGAACAGTTCGAAAAAAAGATCGAAATTAAATGATCGAAATTATATGATCGAAATTACAAATGATTGAAATCAGATATGATCGACAGTACAAAAATTCGAACCTTTGTAGTTTCGAAGTTTTGTGTAATACCTGCACCATTGACCGTATGTAAGATATTGAAAAACTTCTTCAATTATGTGTATACTTTTTATATAATCCCTACTATTTATTATTTATTCTATTTAATTTTTTAAACGAATTTTAACGATTAATTCCCACTTAATTTAATTTGACCAAATGCTACATAACTTAATGCCAATTACTTAATTTGTTTACTATCGTTTAAAATACATTAATTAAGCAGGTACTAATAATAATTTAATGTTATATCATGAAATGATACTTTTATGATTGTCGGTATCATTTTCTTTAATATTTTGTACAAAACTGTTTATCATCTTTTAAATAAAATATTATTAAGTCGTAGGGATTTTGTATTTCCTTTGTCATACTTGTCTTTTTATTAGAAAATCGATTAATGATTTCGTCTATATCTAAATCTATATTTCGATAAACATATAATAAAGCAAAACCATTAAACCAGTGTTCTGGCATGGTAGACTTTATGCAAGTTTTTAAATTGCAATTGATATAGAAATTGTAAATGTACAATAGTCGCCGTCGCAGTTTTGGAAACGTTTATTTTTATATATTTAGAAAAGCTCTACCTAAATCCACCACTGCAATATTATTTTTATTTTTCAAATTGAAACTAATTAAGGTGTCGTCTCAAAGAAAAAGCAACAACCAATATTAAACATTTAATAAATATTACAAAAAAAACATTTAAGATTCATAAAAAATTACAAAAATATATTTGTAAAATATGGCACATAAACATGGTTATTTTTAATTAATTTAAATATAGGTATTTTCTTTGGCAAAACACATGTATTCTTATGAACTATTTTTAGCTTAAATCCTAGTCTAATACATAATATTTTTTATATTTTGTACCTAAATAACATTCCATTATTTTTGAGCTAATATCTAAGATATACTAGTAAGAAATTAATTTCCATAGTACTGTTCAGTTCAATGGCACTCCAAAACAACCATTAGTAGTTAAAAACAAATAACAAAAGTACCTCAATATTAGGTACTATCAAATGCTGATATTTCCTAGTTTAACCAATCCAAAGAAAGATTTTCCACTCGCAAATAGGGATAATCGCTGTTCAATGTCTCTCAACTCAAGTCTATCGCCAGCTCTAAAATGTTCAACACCAGCGGTGTAACAGGTGTTGCTTTTCATTCCACCGCCAATCGAAGGTGAGGTGATGGCACACTCCAGTATGACTTTATCGTTCTTGATGACCTTATAACCCACTCTGTCATGGGCATCCATATAATAGATCTAAAAATAATATATGTAATAAAAACAAATTAAAGTTTAGACTGGGTTTTAACTCCGTTGGCCCACCGACGATTTTTTAAAAATCATTACCGACACAAAAGCATGGGCGAAGTTAGGGGGGGGCTTGGGGGGGCTAAGCCCCCCCAAAAACCAAATTAGCCCCCCCAAAAATAATTCGAACATTTATGGCACATCCATCCACACATTTCAGATTTCAGAACAGAAATTAATAAATAAAAAAAAATCGTGCCTTTTGATTGATTCTGAAATTTTACATTTAGTTCAGGAGGCAGTGAATTTTACTCGTACTCATTTTTCCAATCGATGCAAAAGAAAATAAACTGTTCTCTTAGTGACAAAAAACAAACATTTTGAGTCTGACACTTATTTTCCCAGTCATAAATATTTTACATTTACTAAACTAGAACATAAAGTTTATAAAAATAGCAGTTTGGAATATCTCAGATAGTGGAAAGTGAGTGTGGCAGAAAATTTAGCATATAAATTGATACAATCATGAACTGTTAATAATAATAAGTCTGGCTGATTTACGAAATTGGCAAATGAGTCTGGTAACATCTTCAAAATCGAAAAAATATAATATTTTTGCTTTTATTTTCCCGGGTTTGAAAATTTGTCACGTGATAGATTATATTATAATTTTACAGCTCTATTTTATAGCAGATCAAATACCGTTATTTTAAAACGCTTCCATGAAAAATTTCCGGAAATTTTCCTTTTGGTGGGTACCCTGAACGAAATTATACTGAAAATTGTTTTGACAGTTGAGAAGCTCTTTTATGCATGTTTTATATGCTGTTCTATGGCCAGCTTTGAAAATTTGATTTTAGTCGTTTTAATGCATGTCTGTCTAGTTTTGAAATTTGAATATTTTGGTGTAAAATATTCTTACCCAATACCTACCACTGGTGCCTAAATTATTATCAGTAAATTTTTGCTCACTCACGCATATTTTAAGAAAAATATCCATCGTCTTGGACTCAGGATAAATTTCAAAATATTCACAAGTTCGAAAAAAATTTCGGAAATAATTTAGGCACTAGTGGTATTCTAAGTGAAAATATACATCTGGCTGACAATTACAATCACGAAGGCCTGCCAGACTCACAAGTAGTGTCCGACCGAAGGTTCGGTTACGGTTTTGGCCAACTTCGGCTTAAAATAAGAGTTTCGACTACAGTTTCGGTTTCGGCGGAAAACTGGCCGAAACTGCAGCCAACTACGAAACTACTTTCGAAAGTTTCCGTATCACACTTGGTTGTGTCCGGCACAATGGCGACTGTGCCGGGTGCCATTCCTACACAGTGCACGTACTTCTCTGCTTTGTTTCAAGTGAACAGTCTTCAGTGCTCCTGGCCTAATTTATTCGGATCGAAGGAGCAATTTTTTAGGTGAAACGTGGAAAAAATATTATTTCTAGCCTACAACGTTAGACTGTTTACTTATGAATATTAATTTAATTATAAGTAACAAACATATTTAATTATCTGAATTTGTTTTTTTTTTTTTAATAAAAATTACATTATATATAATTCCCTTCATAATATTATTTTTTGTTACAAAAAATCTAGAGACAGATGCAGGAATGATTGCTACTTTGTAATTAACTTATTTTTTTTTTTAGTTTCAAAAGTAATAAAAAAAAAACAATGTCAATAAATTTATCAATGGCTTCTTGATCACATAAATAAATAGGTAATAAGTAAATGTAGCTAAAATTTATAATACGAGTTAATTAGTCTTAAACAAGGATTACAATAAGATATTGCAAATTTCAATAAGATATTGCCGGTTTCGACCGAAACTAAGAAAGGAGCCGAAATTGGGTTTGGGTTTCGGTTATAAAACCGTATTTCGGTCGGACCTGACAAGCCAGGTAGTTAAACGAGGAGAGGAATAGTAATCGAACGTGCAGAATTTAGCGCGCCTGACGATCATTAGATAAGTCTGGCAAGGCTTTCGGGGTATTCCACATTAGCCAGATTGTATTTTAAGCTGTTATCATAATATACATTTTTCTAGTACTGAGAACACTTGTAACAGGGATCCTTACTGGGCATTGCCAACTAAAAGGACACCTTAGTAAACTGAGAGCAGTAGAAAATAGTGAGTGAAGATTCTGTGAGGAGAAGGACGAAACCTTCATTTACATTCTAACTGAATGTGTAGCACTCCAGAATCCAAGGGCACTATACCTAGGAGCATATCAAATAGAAACTTGAAGGCACTCCAAATCCTACACTTCCTTGAGAAGATATAATTGAAAGGGTCGTTATAGGCATTGAGACATTTCCTTGCTGCATTAGCGACAGAAGGGGGCACAATAGATATTTTAGGTCGCGGTGTATTAACACCCCATTCCCAACATAACATAGCGAGAAAACTGCAAAATAATGAAATCCACAAATCACAGTTCATATTTTGGACATCCAACTACTAATATTTTTAAAATTTTAAATTCTGACAAACTGTCGGTATATTTTTTAGTCATTAAGATTACATATACGTTAAAATTATTTATTTTTGTTTAGAATCGATAAAAAATAGCATTTTAATTTTATTTGGGCCACATTTAAAAAAAATAAATTTTAATCAAATTGTATGAAACTAATTTAATTACGAGTATTAAAATTAAAAACCTAAAAGTGGCGGTGGAGATGAGGACAGAGCATTTGCCTTCCACGCGAATAGCCTGGGTTCGAATCTGGACTAGGGGCTAATTTTCTTTGTTTTTTATTTTATAAATTATTAAAATTCATAAATTATTTTAAAATTGCTTATTTTGTCTAAACCTAAAATAATTTTTTAAATTTGTAGATTTTCGTTAGTGGTTCGTAGAAAAAATATACTGTACAACTTGAGTGGATTGCCCATATCTACTTTTGTTGCGAAAATTAGGAAAATTTTTATGATGAAAATTATTCAGTTTTTTCACTTATATATGTTATTTTATTCATTTTCATAGATTCGCCAGAATTTTTTTACTATACCTCTAGAACTATTATATATTATATGACTAGGGCTAGGGCTTTAGCCCCCCCAGATCTGATGACATAACTTCGCCCATGCACAAAAGAATATATATGATTGATGCTACAAAATAAAGTTAGCAATAATTCAAACAATAAGTAATTCTCGGACTGTTGTAAGTGCAATTAGATTAATGTTGTGTTTCATTGAATTAGTAATAAAATTAGAAATATATTCAGTACATAAATAAAATCAAACTACTCATTACTAAATTGTATATAATGAGGTGTAAAAATTATTGGTAGGCCCACGGACTATTGCTTCCCAGACTGATATGGCAATGTAAAGTCTAAAATGATAAGAGATATTAACAAAACACTTCGGAGATAAACAGATTTGGTAAAAAGAATATTGGAAGACCAAGAGACCAATATGGAAAAAATAAAGGTTTCCGAACAATTACCTGTGCATAAACGAAATATAGGCCAGTTTGCTTCACCGTTACATGTCCATTATCAATAGTGAAATGTGTATGCATTTTTAAAGTTTCCACCCATTCTGTAGCTTTCCAATCCACAAATGTTTCGTTTAGATGTCTTAATTGATCGTTTCCTAAGAGAAACATAATTATATAAAAAACACGTGTGAATTTTTAAAGCCTTATTAATGCAAAAAATTATATTATTATTAAATTGTTTGACAAAGCAGATGTTCTTATATATACCTAATCTATAAAGAACATATGTTTGAAATAAACGGTTAATATTTTTTTGTTGATATTATATAATGTATACAAATATATTTCAAAGTAAATATTTCTAGTAACAACAGTTTCTGAGAACGACGAAAATTTATTTTGCGAATATAGATTTTACCATAAAAATTATCATGTACTCCCAACGTATATCGCGAAGTATCTCCACTGTAATGGACAGATGGTAGATGTTTAATACTTCTTCGTCTATAACCTGTATTTCGCACTATCGTGATTGGCGGTGCATAAGTTGTCGTATCTTCCTAAAAGAAAAACATTAAAATAATATTGATAACGAAATGGTTTTCGAACAATAAAATGATTTAATGTAATAAAATCAAGTCTTAAAGTAAATAAAAAATCACAATTTTTTTTTTTTAATAAAAAAATTTTAGACCATAAAAAAATGTCACCAATAGTCGTTTTATGTGTAACAATGTTTACTTGACGAAACCTACAAAGTCTAATTTGGTTATATGCCAATTTTTTAGCTGTGTGAGCTGCCTGCCGAAATTTGAAAATTTTAGTTTTAAAGGCAGGATGCCTTTGACCAGCTAGTAACTTTTTTTGATCATCCTCAGAAACAAATATTTAAAAAAAAAATAAAGGCCGAGTGTCCCCTGCTCCCCTTAGAGATATATTTTTCAAAACTGCATGTACCATAGCACTGACAAATTTTTAAAATGCTTGAGCACCTATTAGATTTTAGAATTATAGAAAAACAAAAGTTCTAAGACGAATTTTAATTTGAAAAAAATGATCAAATATCAAGAAGGCACAATTAAGATGCATAACGACGTTTGACCACCCCCTAAAATAATTACAATGAGCCCAAAGAAGTTTGAAAATTCGCAAAATTCTAGTTCCTAATCGCATTTTGACTTGAAAAAATGGACAGTCGACATAAGAGCATAATAAAATTCCATAACCGTTTAGAATCATATTTCGACATTTGATCACCCCTAAAATAACTATAATGAGCCCAGCGTGTGAAAATTCGAAAAATACAGTTTTCAAAACAATGGACATAAAGGCTCAATAAAGATACAAAAAGGTTTCAAATTATATTTCTGACTTTTGACAACCCCCTAAAATAGAGGTTTGAAAATGTTCATATTTTTTGGACTAATCATAATTATATTAGGAGGCGATTAAACGTCGAAACATATCTGTATCTGTAACGTGTAGAAGGCGGGTTGCCCCCACGGCACCTTGGCCTCATTAGGCCCATTGTGCATTCTCCTGAGATGACAGGCACCTCCTAGCTCGTGAGCCAGCCTACAGATTTAATGTAGTTGGCGAAGTCGCCAAGAGGTGCTTCTCTTATATCGGCCGGTGTTAGCCTATACTCGCCGAACACAAATCTTCTAATAAATGAGAGCGCCGACCAATCGTAAAGGATATGCTCGATTGTCTCGTATTCTTGTTCGCACCCTCTGCAGAGTGTGGATTCTAACAGCCCCATGACATGGAGATACTTTAGTACTTGGCAATGACCAGTCAGAATGCCTGCGACTAGGCGCAGATTCTGTCTATTCATAGTCAAGTATTTGTTTGCTGCAGTGTTGTCAGGATAACTTAAGAGCTCCCTGGCAACTCTGCAGTTTTTTGTTTCATCCCATCTTTCCTTGAATTTCACAAGGGAGTGTTCTTTGATTAGGTCTATCACTACCGATTATGTCAGGCCAATAGAAGGGCCAGGTCCAAAAAGTATTTGGTTGGCTGCTTTCTTGGCTAGTGAATCAGCAAGACGGTTTCCTTTCAAAGTAGAGTGACCTTTGATCCATCTTAAGGTGACCACATTGTTAATGGATACTTCGGCCAAAGCTTCGTGACATTCTAGTACTAACTCTGAGTAAATTCGTGGTGTGTTCAGGGTGAGTAGTGCTTGTCTGCTATCTGTATAGATAAGCATGTTCCTTCCAGTGATATTGTTTCTGGTTCTTTTTTTGCTGCTATGATAATCCCCGTTAACTCTGTTTGAACTACACTGGTACTATTGCTCACAGCCCATTTTATGTTTAGGTTTAAGAATCTGGAGTACATTCCACATCCTGAGCCTTGTTTTATTTTAGAACCATCGGTGTAGACATGAATCGTACCTGCCACTTGCGGCTCTCTTATTTGCTCTACTATAACTTTATATAGCTTATGGAAGATATATCTCGGTGAGATGGAGTCCATGTTCGCTTGAAACAGTGGAAGCGTATCGAGCGTCTCCTGCCAAAAGCGACGTCTCGCCTCACCAGATCCTACATCAGGTTCTATTCCAACCGTGTGGAGGCGTATCATTGTCGTCAGAGCAATCTCCTTGATGTAAATATCCAGAGGAGTGAGACTAAGAATGACTTCCACAGCTCTGGTCGGTGTTGTTTTCATGGCTAATGTTATGTTGAGACATGCTGTTCTTTGAATTTGTTCTAGTTTACGGATAGTTGTTAATATTTGGGTTTTCGGTACCCAGACAACTGCACCGTATGTTAGCATAGGTCTTATGATAGCCGTATAAGTCAATGCGACGACTCTGGAGGAGAAACCCCAGGTACGCCCCACGGTTCGGCGTCATTGTTCATTAACAATGTATGCTCTTTTAACTCTGTTTTCTAAATGCGAGTTCCATGTAAGCTTACTGTCAAAGGTGAGACCTAGGTACTTCACCTCTGTTGCAAAGTTCTGGAGGTTTTAATTCCATTTTCATCCTTTTCCTTGTGAAAAGGACCATTTTTGTCTTCTTAGGATTGATAGACAGTAACTGGTCCTTGCACCACTGTTCGATAATTTTTAGAGCTACTTGCATTCTTTCGCAGAGTATGTTCTCAAAATTCCCTGTTTGCAGAATGACAAGGTCATCTGCATATGCTATTGTGTAGTGACTGTCATTATTGAGGCGGCTGATGAGGGTGTCGAGGACCATATTCTACAGTAGAGGTGATAGCATCACTCCCCGTGGACATCCCCTCGCAACCAAACCCCTTATATTCACATCTTCTACACTTATGTTTACTGCTCGCTTTGAAAGCATGTTATGTATCCACCCACTAACCATTTAAGGAACATTCCTGTTGGTTAGTGAGTATATTATCTTTGGGAAGGTGGTTTTATCAAAAGCACCTTCTATGTCTATGAAAACACTCAAGGCGGACTCCTTATTGCCCAGGGATCTTTCTATCCGGCCAGCAACTAGATGAAGGGCTGAATCAGTAGATCTGCCTGGGGTGTATGCATGTTGGTTTGAGTGTAGTGGTGTTGTTGTAATCACCTTTCGTATAGCCTTTCCAATGTCTGCATGAAAAACGATGTCAGACTAATTGGTCGGTATGTTTTTGGGACAGTGTAATCCATCCTTCCAGTTTGGGTATAAATACCACTTTTACCCCTCTCCATTTTTTGGGGATATACCTAAGAGCCAACAAAGATCTGAATATACCCACCAGGTGCGGTGTGATTCCTTCCACACCCCACTGAAGTAGGGCTGGATAGATACCATCAGATTCTGGCGATTTAAATGGAGAGAAGCTGGATATTGTCCATCTAATTTTTTTATCGTCTGCAGTTTGCCAATCATAGACAGATGGACTGTATTCTTCCTCTGCCCAGTCCGCCACGTCTGTGATGACCGAGTCAGGGAAGTGTGTTAACAGCAGAAGTTTGATGCTATCTTCGAGGTTGGCAGTTTTCGTGCCAACCTCTTTTTAATTAGCGCACCAATGCTTCGGTGTAAATCTTTTGAGAGAGCTTTTTGAAGCCTTCGATTTCTTCGCAGTAGGATCTCCATGCATTTCTCTGTTTTTGTCTGACGATTTTTTTGTATTCTCTGAGGTGAGATTTGTAAGTATCCCAGTCCTCTTTGAGTTTTGCGGTTCCTGCCTTATTAAAAGATTTCCTAGACATCTTCCTGAGGTGATCCAACTCGAGACACCACCATGCGGTAGTCGTCTGATACGTCGAACCATAATTATATACCATTATGGATCTTTATTGTGCCCTAATGTAGAATGTACATTTTTTTTCAAGTCGAAATTCGATTTGGAAATTGTATTTTTTTGTATTTTCACAAGGGATCATTAAAATTAATGTAGAAATATAATTCTAAACCTTTTTGGATCTTTAGTATGCCTTCCTCTTGATTAAACCTCAAGTCGAAATTTGATTTGGAAATTGTATTTTTTAAATTTTCACTCTCTTTAGGATCGTTATAATTATTAAAGGGGGTGATCAAACTTCGAAACATTATAAAACATTATGAATCTTAATTGTGCCGTCCTGACGATTAATAATTTTTTCAAAGTTAAAATTCGTCCCAGAAGTCTTGTTTTTTTATAATTTATGCCTTGAAATTATTTTAAGGCAGTTGGCCTTTATATTTTTTTAATATTTATGTTTCTAAGGGTGGTTAAAAAAAGTTGCTGGATGATCAAACATGGTCAATCCCGCTTTTAAAACTAAAATATTCGAATTTCGTGGGTCAATCTTACACAGCTTTTTAAATTTCCATTTTTCTCACAATTAATAAATTAATTTCTTTTGAAATAAAACTGCTCGTTTAAAATCAAACTGTCAACTGAATTATTTGAAGTACTTGATTCCGCGAACTTTAACAATGGTCCTCGTATACAGACATAATATCCATTTTATATTTTGTTTCTTGCAGAGCTCTGGTTAATGAAACTTTGTACATTTGCTGACTCTTGTAACCTAATTTTGAAAAACAACTATACCGATTCAAATTATTTAAAAAATAATACGTATGTGATTTAACATTATCTCGATAATCTTGAAAACAATACGTTCTAATTTCAGCGATTTAATTTAATACCTACGACAAAATATTCTTCGTAATCAAATTACTGAAATACTGGATAGTTATGTTATTTTTTACCCAGTTTTATAATTACTGGTATAGGGATCGAATAAATATTATAGTGTGTTAATATTATTATTAATAATTTTCATTATTAATGAGTTTGTGATTATGTTTGTTCAAAATCCCTTGCGAATTATATACGAATTAAATTCCTGGAATGAAAAAGTTCGCCATCAGTCATTTAATTATGCAAAATATTTGAGCATCAGCGTCATCAAAAGATCGGTATTTGCTCCCGTGGGAGGATCTGAACTCGAAACGAATAAACGTCGACATCCATGCTATAAGTTTATTGATTTGAATTGGGGCATGTTCCTAAGAAGCCGAAAAAAATTACAGAAACTTGACATTAGCGTTCTAAAAATAATAGTTATTAATGGTGTACCTATAGTTGACTAAAAAAAAAATATGTTAAATGTTAGCGAATATTGCAGCCATTCCTTTAATCATTGAAAGCTTTCAATTTTAAGGGTCAAGGGCAGAACTCTCTGAATCTGTCTAAAGCGAGCTTCGAAGACAAACGATGCGATACGCAGAGCATAAAGCTTCTTAACACGTTTACTGCCAAGAACGGTTTTAAATTCTCGGCATACTGCAGCATTATTATCTTAATAAAAATAACGTTTTTATATTTGACTCATTCGTATTAAAGTATGTACCTAAAATGTGGAAAATAGCCAAGGGTTGAAATTCACTCGTAAGGGGGTGAATTAGGGAGAGTATTATAATGATACCTAAACCAGATAAACCAACAAATGAAGTTTCATCTTATAGCCCAGCTGAGTGCTGGTGTGGATATTGCTGGGAAATATTGAATTGGATACTTGCATGCAAGTTTTAATCTACAAAGCTATTGATTGGGATAAAATTGGCTGAAAATAGGTCGTTGAATTGTAGGAAATGTGAGCAAAGGTAATTTTGATATAGACCATCGAAAAAATTTGTTTGAAAAATTGTAAAAAGAAGGAATAAAAGAGAAATTATTATTTTTTTTTTAATTATCAATCATGAAGTAATTAAAAATTAGAATTAAAAGTAAAAGATGCATATATTTTTCAAGCTGAACATATTATTGACGTTCCTGTAAAAGTAAGTATATAGAGCTATATAAAGTAGACAGATTCTACCGACTTGCAAAAAGTTAAAAGATATGGATATGGGAAGTCAAGGACCAAAATTAGGGTGACCCGTCAAATGCGCCACGACAAATGCGCCCCGACAAATGCGCTTCCCGACATAATCGACTGCGACGACTGCGACATATGCGTTTCGACAACATTAATTTAATTTTAAATGACCAAGACGAATATTTTAAATTTTATGTAGAACTTACATTAGTGCGTAATTGCTCGATATTTCAAGTTGTGTTATACATACGCACACAAGTTTCAAATAAAAGTTTTATGGATATCAAAAAGGCATATTTTAAAATTATTCTTGGATATACACGATGTAATTTTTAATTGAAACACAATTTTATTTTAATTTTAGATTCGTCACAAAATAATGTATTTAACACTAAAAAATGTTTAAAAAATAAAACAGGGTTGACCAGCAATTAATTTTTTTGTGAAATTAGAGAATGATGCAGATCCCAAATAAAATTACCATAATTTAGGTAGGTTAGTAATGATTTCAAAACTACTTAAAATTAAGACTTATACCAAGCTAACTGGTACATTTTATACAGAATCTTCTGAAACATGTCTTAAATATGGCTAATTTTGAGTTTAATTTACTCAATTTTTTTCGAACGCAATACCCTGTATATTATTTTAAAATAAAATTTATTATAAATTTACCTATCCAACGATAACACAACATGTTATACATATACAGGGTGTTCCATCAGAGCGTAATTGATCGTTAGCAGTTTTATTATTAGAGATAAGAAGACATATTTTATATAAAAGTTGTAAAACCATATTTTATAATTACTCTTAAATATACAGGCTAGTCCATAAATGAGAGGCTGGCCAAACAGTGTTCAATTAATGAAAATGCAAAAATTGTTTAACGATGTGAAAGCAACCAAATCTGTTATCTGTAACTATCTACAGGGTGTTTGGTTTAAAAGAGTATAAGTTTGGTTCACCCCTCATTTATGGACCATCCTGTATAGAAGAAATTTAGTAAATTGAAATGAGTCATATTTCAGACATATTTCAAATTATTATTATTATTCCCCTACGAAATAATGCAATCCATTCTCGGGCCCCCAAGAGGAAAGAAAAATAATTTAAAAAGTAAAAAAAATCTATCAGTAATAATTTTTAAAAGAAAAAAAAAATGTTGTAACGCATATGTGGGAAGCGCATTTGTCGGGGCGCTTTTGTCGGGGCACATTTGACCGCGGCGCAATTGTCGGGTAACCCAAAATTAAATATTACCTACCTTGAAATACTAAATTTAATATATGATGAAAATAAATAAGTTCTAAATAATAAAAAGCTTTCTCTAAAGAAATTCTATACAAATCTAACCATTTCCAGACACCCAAAAATATAAAGGAAAAAACTTAAAAATTAATAAAAACTAGAATGAAGATATATAATGCTTGGCATTATACTCTTCACAGTTTAACACACCCGCCTTAAACCCCCCCTCCCCAATCCCACCCTTATAAAGCTTGATTTTTTGGTTTCTGAGTTAGGATTATTTTAAATATTTTCAACATCCTTAACCCCTAATTTTTCAGAACCAATAGAGATTGTTTTTTACTAAAAAGTTCATGTTGATATCGACTATCGTTTTTGATTTCTGATTTTGTTTTATTTCAACCTCCCTTAATCAGATATTTAACAAAAACCCTTATTCTCTCAGCGATGATTTAGTAAAAACCATTTTGTAGGGCTCTTAAAGAGAAATTCAAGGATGCAAACCGCACTTTATCCTAGTTTAAACGGTTTACGAGATATTTAAAAAAATCTCTGATTTTCTATTAAAATTCCTCCAAATTCGATATGAAAATCCTATTCTCTGGCCCTACCATTTCCACGGTGATTTTGTAAAAACAATTTTGTAGAGCTTTTAAAGAGAAATTTAACGAAATTCATCCTAGTTTAATCAACTTGGCACTTTCAGGAAAAATCAAGATCTATAAGGGAACGAAATTGATTAAAAATGTGGCGTTACGAATGGTTGAAATTAAAAAAAAATCATAAATCATAATTCAAAAACGAAAAGCGATATCAACTTAAAAGGACATCGCACTTTTTATATTGAGTTTGGGTACTGTCAAAATTTGTTCAAATTTTAGAATGTTATGTTTTAGGTTATTGAGGGCAACTTTCTAATGGACCTTAATTTGAGGTGAATTTTTAGCAAAAATCAAAAGTAAGGAGTGCAGAATTAAAATTTTACATATATTTCTAATACTGTAAAGTTGTTCATGTTTTCTCCATGAAACTATGGCATGATTTTCATTGGTTGATAAACTATAGTGTTAAATAATCAAAGAAAGATAAAAGTATGTACCTAGCTGAAAAATAAGAATTTGCCAGAATTAAATATTATCAGTATTAATATCACGCAGTTTTTTTTGATAAAGTACTATTACAAAAACTGTGTAAGGTTTCTTATGAGGTTTTAATTTAACTAAAACAAACCTACCTAAGAACACAAATATTGTATGTTCATTTTTGTCGAAAATGGGATAGCTTCTGTGTCCTTCGAGGTATACAAATGGGGCTTAAGGGGAGTTTGAAATATTAGAAGAAAATCTTGAAATTTTTTGGAATAACTATAAGGATTGATTCTGAAAAAAAAAATCTGAATAAAAATGGGGGTTGAGAGGCGTTAAAATATTAAAAAAATGCTAATTCAAAAACGATATCAACTTGAAAGCTTCAGGTAAAATCAAACTCTATAAGGGGACGAAGCTTATTGATGCTGAAAAAAAAATTGATTAAAAATTGGGGTTAAGGGGTTCTGGAGAATAATATGGAATTTCAAGCATTATACATCTTCATTCTAGTTTTGTTATTAATTATACTTATTTTATAATTATTTTTGTCATTATTGTACGTTATAATGGTATTTAATGATTTGTAACACTAGTGTTAATAGTACAATAACCACCTTTGCAGATGAGACTGTCATATTTACAGTAGGAGAAGATCATGAAGATGGGGCCAGAAAATTACAAAACTAAAACATTGACCATACTGTAATTAGAGTAAAATTCTCCTAAAAAGTATTTTCTAATCTTAAAGAAATATAAAAATGTTTGACTCTCTTAGTCAGTTAGTCATAGAAATGCATAGTTCAATTTGAAGCCCAACCTGAATTTTGATGAAAGTTGTATTTTCTGAAACTAGCGTGCCAAAATTATATAAATACACTTTTCGTTTCTTTCCTATTCTCTAAAAATACTTCAAACGTTTATTATTTACCAAATAAATTTTAATTTTCTTGGGTTATTAGTTTGACTATGTAGTTTGATATAAGTCTCAAATTAATTTTAATCTGTTAAAATTGTGAGGACAACCGTGTTTGAAACAATAACAAAACAAATCTTAATCACTTACAATGGAGTCTAGATACGAGTCTAAAGACTTCAGGTTTGCCAATTTTACTTTCTGTTTGGAAGCTTTCGATTTATTGTCAAAATGTTTAACCCTTGACGACCTAATATAAACATTTGGAGCTTTTGTAGGCTTTGTGGGTCTATGTCTGTAATAAGCTGCAGTCGAATATTTGTAAGGATACACAGGCCATGGGGTGCTAAAAAACAAATAAAATATAAAATACTAGAAAAATTTGAAATACATAGTATGATCCAAATTAAACACACTATAATACTATTTAATTTTACCTTCTTGTAGATGCCCTAGTAGGGATCTGTGTTACTTTCCCTCTTAAATTATACCCATAATTAACTTTCGCTTTCTTCTCGGCATAAGATTCTGAATTAATAACGACTCCATCATCTGTAGCTGCGACAATATTCCTTTTTTCTCTAATTGATTCGTTCTCGTCTTTGGTTTGAGGTGTAGCCACAAATTCCCTATCTTCATTATCGACTTTTGAAAGTCGATTAAGGAATTTAGTGTATCTGTCCTCGTCTCGATTCGTATCGTTATGTTTCTCATCGTAACTTTCGTAATCCACATATTCATTTATACCGCCCTCTGGTACGACTATTCTAGGCTCCTGGTCGGTATCAAATGCATCAGTGTCCTAAAAATTATTCAAAACTAATGATTGAGCCTTTGTATGTGGAATTTCAGAATGAAAATGCACGTTATTAGACCTAACAATGAATATAAAACTGCAATAATTTAATAAATTGTTGTGAAAAGTAACTGAAGTCATTATGATCCTCAAATAAGTTTCGCCATAAAGGCCAATCTTTCTACTGCCTACATTATCAAAACTATTTAATAAATAAATATAATAATAATACAATGGTAAATAAACGAAGCATATACTCAAATAAGTTCTATACAAAGAAATTATCTATAACTTGACACATTCAGTTTATTATTCCATTTAATTCTAAGGATTTTTTTGTACAGAGTGTCTACTTAAGCCGGCACAATACCGAAAACTTTATTATTATTAAAGGAACCAAAAGAGGATAAAATCAGCACCATTTACTTTCATACAATGGTATAATCTAGTTTGTCTGTATTTAAATTTTGGCATTCATACTCTATTCTTTGTTGTAAATCTAAAGATTCTGGTTGGGTAGCATAATTTTTTTTTTCAAATAACTCCATAAAAATAAGTTAAATGTGTTAAATCTGGTGATCTAGGTGGCCACACCATCAACGAGCCTCTTCTACCTATCCAACGAGCGGGGAAAGTTAAATTTAAAAATTGTCGTACATGCAAAGCAAAACATGAAAGTGCTCTCCATCCTGTTGAAATGCAAGCAAATCTTCATTTAAGTTTCTGTCTAAAAAGAAAGGTCCGACTATGTGATCACCTAGGATACCACACCATATATTTAATTTTTGAGGATTCTGTGTGTGGTATTCACGCACAACATGTGAATCACTCTTAGCCCAATATCTGCAATTATGTCTATTAACTAAAACATTCACTGAAAATGTACTTTCATCCGAAAAACAAAGGTTGTGCAACAATTGTGGATTGTCAATAATTCACAAAATTCAAGACGACGATCAAAATTATCTTCGTACAACTCTTGAACCAATTTAATTTTGTATGTGTTAGTCTTTCTTTCTTGTCTTTAGAGAAAAGTCTGCTATTTTTCTTTTTAAATTTAAATTTAATGACATTCGTATTTTATCTGACAATAATAATCTATCAAAATCATCTACTATATACTAACTAATAACCTAAAGTATTAAGTTATAACGTCTCTAAATAAGAACGGCAGATTGAGCTCATGGTTCCATGCGCGACATTTCTCCACCCTGCTAGAAGATTCTCAGGATTCTTCTAGTTCCAGATTGAATATTTTTGAAACCGGTCTTCGATAATTTCCATTAGCCGTCTTTAAATCAATCACTCTTATTCTTCCGTCAGGTCCGGGATAAGTAGCTGTAACTCTAGCTGGTTTCCATTTATATCTAGGTTCTTGGCCATCGACTAATATTACGATATCATTTGTCGCTATGGGCGTGTGGTCAAATGTCCATTTGTTTCTTTTAGTGAGAGAAAACAGATACTATTTTGTCCATCTTTCCCAAAAAGAAGTAGCGAGCATCCTAGATTTCTTCCATTCTCTTCGTAGAATATTTGCGTCAGGATTGATGGGAAGAAATGTCAAATTCCTGTCGTTTGGCGTCCCAAACAAAAAATAATTGGAAGTTAATGGTGCAGGGGGCATCGGAAGAAAGCCTTGTAAGAGGCCTCGAATTGACGATTACTTCTGCTTCAACAGACAAAGTCTGTAATGTTTCTTCTCGCAGACTTTGATCATGAAGTATTTTTCATATTGTTCTCTTATCAACCTTTCCCATACACCTGCCATATGGGGAGCCGAAGGTGGTATGAAGTGGAAGTCAATTCCTCTTGCAGACAACGAATCTTTTAATGATCTTTGGTCGATATTGTCAAGAGCTTCTTTTATTTCTTTTGAAGCACAACGAAGGTTTGATCCATTCTCACAGTAAATGCTCCGTATGGCTCCTCTTATAGCAGTCATCCGTAAAATGCTCATGATAATAGAATCATTATTAAGGTATGGGCAATTTCAAGATGAATTGCACGGACGGAGAGACATTTAAATATTATATCGGAATTCGTAGCTTTGTCACTTCCAGAAGTTCCTTAATCCAATTCTTTTAAGTCGTCATATTTCGCTGAGGTATATTTTCATCCCATGCTATCCCAGATCTCCAAATATCCTGCATCAAAATCTTTGCTTTAATTGAAAAACAGGAAATAAGTCCCAGGGGATTATAAATAGACATAACTGTCTTTAAAACAGTTCTTTTGGTACCTGTCTTTTCCAAAATGTCCTCTTTAATCTTTAGTCTGATCAAAAAACTGTCGTCTTTTGTGTCCCAATATAATTCCAGCACTCGCTGAACGGTCGTCTTGTCATCAATGCATTTTGAAGCTGCAGAGATTTCTTGAACATTTTCTGAAATAACTGATGAATTTCCCATACAGTTCACGACCTCAAAACCTGCTTGTTTCATGGCGCTGCAGATGTATGTAATAGTTATTATTTCTTCACCTTTCGTGGCTGTTGAATCCAAATAATCATCGACATATAATTTCTTTAAAATGGCTTCCTTCAACTTTGGGTCATTAATGTTTGTTATAGCATGGTAATTTTTCACAAACTAAGCGCGCACGGGCGAGCACGTGGCACCAAAGGTCATAACCGTCATTTCGTAAATCTCTGATTCTCCATTGAAGTCTAGGTCTCGCCAAAGGACTATCTGTGCTTGGCTATCTGATTCTTAGATCCTGACCTGGTGAAACATCTCTTTCACATCTCTACAAAATCCAAACCTGTACTGTCTAAACTTCCACAGGATAGCTACTAGAGAATTCAACAAATCGGGACCAGCTAGTAGGTTATCGTTCAAGCTGGTTCTACGTGACGCACAATCCATTACCAGTCTAAGTTTCTTTTTGTTAACATTTTCAACGGCAAAGTGTGGAATGTACCATGTTTTGGAATCTTCATCTGCAGCTTCTTTAGCTGTAAGCTTATTAAAATATCATTTTTCCGTATAGTAGTTTCATTCCTCCTACACTTTCTCTTTATAAATTCTAGTCTTTGTATTGCTTTGGTCCGACTTTCTGGTAATCTGACACCATTTCCGCGCCACAATAAGCCAATCTCATATCTGCCATCACATTTTCTTATCGTTTCCTCCATAACTCTTAATGTCCTAGAATTGTCTGAACTTAACCGATTCGGTTACTAAAACTCCAAAGCTTTCTGTGGTAAACGAGTTTTTCACCATCTCTCCTTTGGCTTTGGTTGTTGATTTTCAAGAATTACTTGTCCTAAAACTGTGACTTCGATTGGAAGAAGAAAGAATTAAAACTGCACATTAACTTCTTAAAAATTAAGGCAGTATTTTATGATTTAAAATATCTTGCTAAAGACGAAACAAATGTTTGCATATTACGGAGGATGACAACCAAACAGCCTTGTCTTGTATAATCGAGATGGGAGCATTAAATATTCAAGTTCGAATATTGTAAAAAAAAGTTTGTTTGAAATGAGGCATATTTTAGTTTTTGCCAGTTATATCTCGTCGATAGCAAATACAAATGCAGATAAGGAATCAAGGTCAATTACCATAGATATAAATTAAACGACAAAGCATTTAAGGATATTGTAAAAAGGTTTAATTGTCCGGAAATAGAGTTGTTTGCAACAAAAATAAATTAGAAAATGTCCAAGATTTATTTTATGGTTTCCAGACCCATAATCTAAATGCATTTACTTTAGATTGGACAATGGTCAAGACATTACTTTTATGCCTTTCCTGCTTTTTACTATTATCACAAGAATTTTAGACAAGAAAAAATTCAAACCAGAAAAATGTTTGCTTATCTCCTTTTAGGCAGGGAAATTATTCGAAGATTTTTAAAAAAAAGGCGTTCCTGATGGTGGAATACATTACGAAGGGTATAATAAATCTAGTATTGGCTAATTGAATACCCAATTATATATAAATTGCTTTATCATCAGCCAGCAGAATACAGACTCTTCCTTAAACAAACTTCAATATATTGTTAAAAAGGATAGAAATTAAAATCTCTGATAGAATAAAGATGAAATATATTATTAAGAAAACACAATGGTCTGGTAATAAGGAGCAACATCTCATACTGACACATATGAAACCAATCAGGGCCGCCGATTAATCGCTGCTCATAGTGTACGCCACGCATCAACATCTGCTGCGTTTAGGGCAGCTGTAAGTATTGAACAGATAAGAAATACCGCAGATTAATATTATATATTTAGTTTATCCTCTAAAAATGTATAGAGGTGCTGCAATAGGTTGTACAAAATAACCGGAAAAAGCCTATAATAACTAGATAGGAAAGTCATGTGTTGGACACATCAGATTTTTTTAGTGATTTGGTCGAATTTTTCGTACTCTTTGTACAGTCTTTTCACTTTTTTCTACATTATTTGCTACAAATTTTTAAAAATCTCTAACCGTACGTCGTCTGATAATTGTTCATAACATTTTTTTCTGTATTTTCACACCCCTTTTAGAGATTTTTTCAGTCAATGTTAACTTTGGCCGGTTAGAGTTAGAGCCTAACAGTAAAAAATAATAATGAAAAAATGGCCAATGTTTAGATTGGCCCTTTTATATTAAAGTACTTTTAATTTCTAATATTAACTTTGGCCCTATTTATTTTGGTATCTTTTAAACGGAAGAAGATAGACAATGGCCGTTTTACTTAAATAAAGTTTAAAATGAATGTAGTGTACCGGTGTATAAAAGTTCAAAGTAAAAAAGAAAAATGACATTGGCCCTTTTAGAACCAAGCCACAGAATTATATCTACGGACAAGCTCGGAAAATTATAATTAATCTTTCTTGAGGTAAGCCGATTTATTTTTTATTTTGCCGCAGTAAGGTGAGATGTAAAAATTTGTGACTGAAATAAAGATCATAAACTAATTAATTTAATCCTCATGTTTTATACATTTTTGAAATCAGTTTAACGAGAGGAATCAAAACATGGATAAAAAAATGGAGGAAGCCATTTAAAAAA